CCTTTTTATCATTATGTAGTGACCCTCTGTATCTTTTTAAATTTTTGATAGCTTATATGATATTTTGTCTGAAATTAGGATCACGACTCCTCCTTTCTTTTGTGTTCCATTCGCCTGAAAACTTGTTTCCCATCCTCTTACTTTGAGTCTGTGTATGTCCTTTCTAGTGAGATGGGTCTCTTGAAGGCAGTATCTTGTTGCCTGGTGATATTTTATCCATTTTGTCATTCTATGTCTTTTCAGTGGTGCGTTTAGTCCATTCACATTCAGACTAATTATTGAAATGTGAGAGTTCATCCCTATCATGGAGTTCTTATTGAGTTGTTGTTCTTCCACTTGTTTTTTTTTTTCTTTTTTTTTTTTTTTTTTGTCTTTCTTTTGGTTTTGGGGTTGGTTCGTGTATATTTTATTCTTTTCCCTGTACTCTTGTGAAGAACGTTGTTCTTTTTTCCTTTTCTTCTGTGTTTAGTACTTTCTTAAGTGTTTCATGTAGAGATGGTTTGGTGGCAGCATGAAATCTTAGAGATTGGATATCTGGGAAAGATTTTAATTCTCCCTCACTGATAAAGCTTAGCTTGGCCGGGTAGGTTATTCTTGGTTGAAATTGTTTATCTTTTAGGACTTTGAAGATAGGGCTCCAAGCTCTCCTAGCTTGCAGGGTTTCTGCTGATAGATCTGCTGCTATTCTGATTGGTCTTCCATGGTAGGTGATCTGGCCTTTTTCTCTTGCTGCCTTTAGGATTTTTTCTTTTGTGCCTACTTTATTTAGGTGAATTATTATGTGTCTAGGAGTTGGTCTTCTCATTTGTTGTCTTGCGGGGGTTCTCTGAATCTCTTGTGTTTGAATTTTTGTATCACTGATTAAATAAGGGAAGTTTTCTTGTATGATCTCATGGAAAATTTGTTCCAATGTGGTCTCTGTTTCTCTCTCTGCCTCAAGGAGTCCGATTATTCTTAGGTTAGGCCTCTTGAGGTAGTCACTCATCTCTTGAAGTCTTTGTTCTGTCTTTTTGAGCTTATTTTCTGTGTTCCTAAGAGTTTGGGTTATTTCTACATTTTGGTCCTCAAGCTCTGAGATTCTTTCTTCTGCTTGGGTAATTCTGCTTTCCATGCTTATCAATTTGTTATTTATTTCATTCACAGTATTCTTTATTACTGTTATCTCAGATATCAGCTCCTTCCTAGTTTCTTCTTGTGTCTCCTCAATTCTTTTTAATCTCTCCATTATTGTTTTGATATCTACATTTGCAGTTTGAGACCCTTCATTCTTGGGACTTTTCATTGTTTGCATTCCAAAGTCAGTTTTCTCAGTGTCTGCTCTCCCAGGCGTCTGGGAGAGACACATACTCTTCTTTTGGTTTTTCTTCATTTCTGTAGATATTTCTCCCTCTCTCCCTTTCCCTCCCCCTCTTCAATTCTGTTTTTGAGGGAAGGTGGGGTTGCTTTTATTTCTCTTCTGCAATGACCTGTTCTTCCTTATGAGGGTCTTCTGACTTTGTTCACTTTTCCCTCTGCTTTACAGTCTGTCTATTCAGCAGTATGCAGTCTTGGTCCCTGTGTTAGATAAGGCTACAAGTAGTGGGAAAAATAGTCTGTACAAATTGACAGAGGCTGTTTCTTAATGGTGTATGGATTCTTCAACTTTTGACAGCATCTGCCACCAGCACAGCCCCACAACATCAGCTGCCGTTCACCAGCGTCCCGGGTGGCCGCCATCTTAGTCCAAGAGGCCGCAGGAATCCAAATTCCTGCTTTCAAGCAATCCTTTGGCCTCAGATTCCCAAAGTGCTGTGATTACAGATGTGAGCCACTGCGCCCAGCCTCAAACCCTGTCTATGTTCCATAAATGATTGAAATAGCAGCTACAATAGGGTCCTTCATTTCCTCAGGGCTACAAGAAAAAGGCAGCACAAACATGGGTTGCTTGACATATCCCCATAAGAAATGACTGAGCTGAAATGGGCTCAGTGGCTCAGCCTGTAATGCTGCGCTTTGGGAGCCCGAGATGAGTGGATTGCCTGAGCCCATGTGTTCGTGACCCACCTGGACTACCTGGCGAGACGTCATCTCTACAATAAATAAAAAATCAGCCGGGTGTGGTAGCACGGGCCCTTAGTTCCGGCTACTTGGAAGGCTGAGGTGGAAGGATCACCAGAGCCCAGCAGGTTGAGGTTGCAGTGGCCGGGAGTATGCCACTGCACTCCATTCTGGGCGACAGAGTGACTCCAACTCAAAAAAAAAAAAAAAATGACTGAGCAAAAAGTTTGGAAAATATTCCATTTTTCTCCTTACTCTATACATTACTTGTTAAGTGAAAAGTCAACATGTCTCTTCATTCATAATGCTATATTACATCATATATTAAAAAATAAACTTTATAACATAGTACTTAATAAAATATCCATGTAAAATCGATTCCTTATTCACATTATCTCTTAAATACTCAACATGACAGATTTTTTAAAAACTTAATTCATGAAGGGGTTCTTGAGAAATAGGGTCTTAAAACATAAAAAGCTGACAACAAAGCAAAATGCCTACAGTACCAGTAAGTGACAGCCAGAATTGTTGGGGAACAAAAAAAAAATCACAAATTTAAAAATACACAACATAATGAACAAAAAAACTGGCTTCTTGAGTCACCATTCAACTTCAAATGGGCACTATGATTTTTTTATCCCCTACTGAGTTTCTAACAGACTGGCTTTATCAACTCTTCCAAAGATTCATCCCCCTTAAGCTTCTACTCTCATCCTACCCTTCCAACTGTTGGCAAACACCTTACTTTTTATCTTTATTCAAATAAATGGAAGGAATTCTCCCCCTCCACATCAGAGTATCCACCCTTTCACGTATCCTTTTATCCCATTCACTCATAACATAGAAGAAAGTAGAGTGACCCCCATCCTTGCCTTAACCCATCTCCCAAATTCTACCAAGATCTTGTTTGCTCAATCATTCCACAACTCCACATTTCCTTTTTCTTTGGCCCCTTGCTTTATACCTTCAAAAAAGCAAAAGTCTTTGTTATTTTGAAAAATTTCTCTTGTCCTGCTTTATCCTTTAACTACTGTCATAGTTCTTTCCTTCTTCTAATCAAGCTGCCCAAATATATAATTCATATCCATTGCCTCTTTCTTCTTCCCTTAGAAAATATACACTTCAGCTTCAAATCCTCCACTAAAGTAGCCTTATCAAAGTTCCCTAATGGCTTGCTAATGCATGAATCCATGAATCAAAAGTGAAAGGGATCTTCATGCTTATCCACTCCATTCACCCCATTCTACAGATAAGGAAGCTGAGATCTGTGAGATATTTGACCAATATTATCAGTGAATCTGTGTGGGCTGGAATCTTAACAACAACCTTCCATCCAGAAAAACAGACATTTCTTGGTCAAAAAAACAAACTAAAAACAGCAAGTAAACAAACATCAAGATTATTCCAGGTGTCACTATAAAAGAAAGGAAAAACTATATTTATCTGAAATGGAGGTCAATACAAATATAGCAACAGGTAATTCAAAACCCATTATAGTTGATTTTGGAATATAACCTTGCAACTTTGTGAATTACAAAATCTTTAAATAATAAAGTTTTACTGTGAAAGTTTTTCAGGAAAGTCAGTTTTTCTCTTCCTTTTCTCTACTCCTCTGTCTGTGATGTATTACAGTATACTGTCTAAATCTGAGTGTTAAAAGATCATGCACAGAAACCAGAGAGGTAGAAAGAGAACCTAGGAAATACGAAGGAAGAGGTTTCTAAGAGAAAGAAGCAGTTAACAGCACAAAAAGTTAATTGTACATCCTCTCCCCTATAGACCACAATAATATTGCTGCTCATTCTGAGTAAGTCTTTAAAGTGTTCCTGAATCAGGGTTTAATCTCTCTTACAAAGAAACATGCAGCCCTATGAGGGTTAACTTAATGTGTCAATTTGAATGGACCATGAGGGTGTACAGATAGTTGGTCAAACATTATTCTGGGTATTTCTGTGAGGATGTTTTTGGATGAGATTAACATTTAAATAAGTGTATTGGGTAAAGCAGATTGTCTTCCATATGTGTGTGGGCCTCATCCAATCAGCTGAAGGCCAGAATCAAACAAAATACTGACTTCCTCAGGGCAAGAGAGAATTCTGCCTGACAGCCTTCACACTAGAACATCAGTTCGTTCTGGTTCTGTGCAGCGTCAAGCCTTCACACTTAAACTCGGACACTGACTCAGCAGATTTTTAATTTACCAGCCTCCATAATGACAGGAACCAATTCCTTACAATAATTCTCTCTATACATATACACACTCTTCATACATACATACGGGTTTCTCTGGAGAACTCTAACTAATACACTATCTGGTCATGAAGCGTATACATTCCATTTGTTCCAATGTGCACCCTTTCAGACTGTAAATTTTAGAGGCTTGAACCAATACTCTTGGAGTAAAATATTTGAAATTCTACCATCCAAGCTTTCTCCCAATCCAACACCTTTCATAAAGCCCTTTGCAAATCCATATTACAAAAGAAAAAAGACTATAAACAAAGAGCCTATGAATGGTCAATAGAAAGTAACAGATACAATGATTATTTTGCTTATACTCTTAGCCTACTTATTTTGATTATCAAGAAACTGGGAGGTTTCATAGCCTTTTTGCTTCACATATTACTGTTTTCTCCCACTGTTTTCAACTACCATACAAATTGAGAAAGGCAAGGGACTACAAGGAACTTAACACCTACCTTGAATCATACAATACCTGGATTACACTAAATTAAAAACTTTGAAAAGTAAAATCATGCTTTATTAGCTACAAAACTATTATTTTGACATGATTTTGATTATTAATTTAGTAAAATTAAAAAGCAGAATGATGAGAGAAAGAAGAGCAATGAACAAACACGAGAAAAGAAGAGATGGAAGAAAGCTAAGCCCAGTGGCTTAGCCTGTAATTTCTGCACTTTGGGAGGCCGAGACAAGTGGATTGCCTGAGCTGGTGGGTCGAGACCCATCCAGTCAACTTGGCGAGACCTCTCCTCCACAATAAATCAAAAATTAGTGGGACACAGTAGCACGTGCCTGTAGTTCCAGCTACTTGGAAGGTTGAGGTGGAAGGATCACCAGAGCCCAGCAGGTCAATGCTGGGATGGCCATGAGCGTGTGAAGCTCCAACTCAAAAAAGAAGACGAGATGGAGGAATGACAGATGAAAATAGTAGAGAATTTTTTGTTTTGTTTTGTTTAGCCTCACTCTGGCGCCCAGACTGGAGTGCAGCGGCATGCTCACGGCCACCGCAACCTCGACCTGCTGGGCTCAGGTGATCCTTCCACCTCAGCCTTCCAAATAGCTGTGACCACAGGTGTATACCACCATGTCCAGTTAATTTTTTGATTTACTGTAGAGACAAGGTCTCTCCATGTTGCCCAGGCTGGTCTCAAACCCGTGGGCTCAAGCAGTCCTCTCGCCTCAGCCTCCCAAAGTGCTGGGAGCTTGAGCCACCATGCCTGGCCAAACAGCAGAGAATGTTAAGCAGAGAAGAGTCATCTTATTGGCTACCCTCTAGGATGCTGTAAGGAGTCATCTTGTCTTCCTTTTCTTCAGCCTCCCATTTCAGACCCAGGAGACATCCCTGAAGGGAGCACAGAGTGTACCCATGAATAAATAGGACTCTGGGCAAAGCAGCTATGTGTAAAATTACCAAGATTCAGCTGGGATCCCCCACTCTACTGCCTTGTTGAAAAGGCACAAAAAATACAAATACAGCAAGGAGGAGAAAGGTAGGAAAAGACAGGGGCCCTTCTGTGCAGATTAATTTTATGGGTCAACTAGATTATGCTAAGGGATACCCAGATAGCTGGTAAACATTATTTCTGGATGTGTCTCTGAGGATGTTTCTGGAAAAGATTAGCATCTGAATTGGTAAACTGAGTAAAGATGGCCATCACATATGTAGGTGGGCATCATCTAATCTGTTTAGGGCCCAAACAAAACCAAAAGGCAGAGGAAGGGCAAATTCAACTCTCTTCTCAAGTTGGGACATCCATCTTTTCCTGCCCTTGGATACCAGCCCCCCTGGTTCTCAAGCCTCCAGGCTTGGACTAGAACACCACTAGTCTTCTGGGGCCTCTAGTTTATAGACAGCATATCGGTGGACTTCTCAGCTTCCATAAATGCCTAAGTCAGTCCCTAATAATAAATCTCTTTACACACACATATATATATATGTCCTATGGTTTTGTTTCTCTGGAGATCTATAACTAACACAGGATGCTTCCCTTATTAATACCCCAAAACAGAATACCTGGCTCCCTTAAGTAAATATAATTTTAGATTCAAGGAATCATACTACTTTAAAAAATGAACTAAAAAGTTATTCAGTTCATTTCTACTTAGATGTTCCTGAGGTAAAATACTTGGGGAAAAATTCATTGCAAGGGTTCATATGGGAGAATAAGCGTCTAACAAATTAATTCTCCCACCAATAACAACTTTGAACAACATATTAAAAACAACTACCTCAGGGCTCTGGCAAGTGAATAAAAGCAGACATGTTTAGGAGAGAAGACTAAACTATGAAAGCGACTGGCATGGGGCAAGCTTTAGGTTTTTGCAGTTTTGTCTGAGGACAGTTACATTATGATTGTGACATGGATCAGCTAAGCACACGTTAAAAAAAATTATTTTAAAGGCCAGAAGAACCAGGAGAAGGAGTCAGAGAA